TCCAGAGCAGAGCATCTTCATAAACAACTGCAGCTAGCAAATCAGAGAAGGACGCTTTTGATTGAGGAATTAGAGCATAATCAAATAAGCATAGAGCAAGGCTACGAAGCTAGACTTAGGTATTGTTTTGCATTTTGCTGTGTCTTACAAGTACGCGCCTTTTATGATATTCTTATCCTTTAGGGAGACAGAAGAACGGTATCGTGCTCGCTATCTTCAGATGGAGGACAAATTCCGCCTCGATAAGCGTGAGATTCAAAATGAGGTTGAACAAGTAAGTTGTATAGTTGGGCTTTGATCGCTGATCTTTATATGGGATTTACAGCTAGAGGAGGAATTGTCGCGATTGCGACAGGTTGAGACATCCACCAAAAATAAAGCTATGTTGTTGGAACGTCAGAACACTCGACTCATGGAGGAAAATCGAGAACAGTCTGAAGCTATAAGTCATCTGGAACAACTCAACAGGCAGCTTCGCACCGAGCTGAGCAAGGTACCTTCTACTGTCACAGTTTTTCATTAGTGAATTTGTGGGATCTATTTATACTTTTATAGGCTATGCAACCTCGTCCCGTAGAGGACAATACTCAGTTGATTATGTACAAACAAAAACTGGAAATTGTCGTTGCTCACAACAAGGTATGTTTTTAGTCGCCTCATTAAAAACTGTTTCGCATGTTTGTTTTTCAGCGGTTGCGAGAAAGAATACAAGATCTGACTGCATCTCAGAAGAAAAAGTCAAAGGCCAACGATGGTGAACCCTTCTCGTTAAAGTGGAGTGGCGCATTCCGAAGCCAGGTAGTTTTTTTTTTGCAAAGTTTATATATCTGCTGAGGTTATGCAGCAGATTTACGAATATTTTTTGAGGTTATGTTGATCAGAAAGCGAAGGTTAGCCAAAGGAGACACCCTCTCTGAAATGGAAAGTGAACCTGAATCCATTTTTGTACGGCATAGACGGCGAAAACTCTTGAAGAGAAAGGAGAGGAAATTGAGATATGAGAGAATTGCTTCTCGGATACTTGTGCAAGATTCAGGTAGCTTAATTTGTGCAGTGTCATATTTGAGATTGTGATAGTAGAACTTTTTTTT